GATCCATGCCAGGGGCTGGGCTATGATGCTTGCCAGCTCCTTGAGTACTCTTGGGTACTGTCAGGGCCGGCTGACTTGAAGGTGTCCAGCCTCTCAAGGTGTTCCTTCATGAGGTCAGCATTGATGGAGGGTAAGGAATCTCCCTCACCTGTGCCTCCCTGTCCCATAGTGGGCAGGGGCATCCCATGGGACTGGTGGAAAACTGACGCAAAGTACCCATTTAGCAAGTTTACTTTTTTTGGGCATCAGTTGTCAGTTGTCCCATCTGGTTTAGCAGGGGTCCAATGTTGCACTTGCTTTTCCTCTGACTTCCCACATATCTAAAAAAAGGACTTTTTATTGTCCTTAATATTTGTAGGTAGCTAGAGTTCTGTTGCATCCCTGGCTTTCCTGGTTCGCTCCCTGCAGGTCTGGACCAGTGCAGAGTATTCCTCCTTGGTGGTGGATTCAGTCCTCCATCCTTTGTAGTTCTTTCTTTTAAGATGCAGCAGGTCCACTAGTTCCCTGGAGAGCCAAGGGGGATGCTGTGCCTTTTGCTGCCTTTCCTCCGAGATGGGATAGACTTTGCTTGTGCATCCAGGATTGCTCCCTTGAGGAACAACCACTCATCCTGGACCCCCCTCCCCTTTGGGTTGTGGCCCTTTAGGGCCTCCGTGACAAGCCTCCTTAGCTTATCAAAGTCAGTTTTCCTGAAGTCAAGAACTTCTGTATTACTGACTGGTGTGCCAGCTTTACAGCGGATGGTGAAGGTGATCAGCTCGTGATCATTGTCACCCAGCTTGCCTTCTATTGTTAGGTTGCTGATTAGGTCATCCCTGGTTGGTAGTACCAGGCTGAGCAGCACTCTACCTCTCTTTGGCCTGTAGACTTCCTGCATCAGATAGAGCTCGTCTACGAGCTTTGCGACTGCTCAGATTTGGCCAAGCGCTCTTCCCACAAGATGTCTGGGTAGTCTAAGTCTCCCATGACAACCATGCACCGGGAGCGTGTGGCCTCAGTCAATTCCCTGGCAAACTCCTGGTCAAGGTCTTGATCCTGGGTAGGGGGTCTATAGTAGACTCCCACCATAGTGTTCCCTCTGACATGTTCCCCACAGATTTTAACCCAGAGGGTCTCAAGTTGTCCACCCTGGGAGCCAATGTTGGCTTGCAGGGACACGGAGCTTTCCTTGACATAGAGAGCTACACCCCCACCCCTTTTGTTCACTCTATCTCTCCTGTACAGGGTATAGCCATCTATACCCGTGGCCCAGTCATGGGTGGAGTCCCACCAGGTCTCCGTTACCCCTATGACATCATAATTATTTGTGTTTAGCAGGAGGACAAGTTCCTCCTGTTTATTCCCCAAGCTCCTGGTATTTGTGTACAGGCACGCAAGTGTTCCTTTGGGGGCCATTGTTTTACCTACAGTTCATTCTAGGGCTAGGGCAGGGTTGGGCTCCCTTAAGTGCCATGGCCTGCTGGCTTTGCAAGGGTTGCTCAGAGGGCCAGGAGTGGCAATAGTCCCCCCAAGCCCCGGCGGGCTTAGTTTAAAGCCCGGTGGAGCAGGTCAGCCAGTCTGGCTGAGAAGAGCCTCCTCCCCAGTGGAGAGAGGTGGAGGCCATCCCTCTCTCCATTGCTCTCCCAGTGACAGTGTTTACACATCCTGATGCACCACGGTCAGATTTACTTTGGTCACCTGCAGCAGGGAAAAGTGTGTGAGGCAGAGCAGAATAGTGCAGAAGCTGGGTCTGCATCAGAGGAAAGGAGCAGGTGCAAGGAATCGTTCCTAACCATGATGTAGGTTGGGGGTGCTGGTTAAAGTTATGTTGGTCTAAGGACATAGGCAGACAAGGTGCTTTGGGTAAATTATAGCACATTTACCCAGAGCACTTTGTCTAACCATGACATAAGATTTCTGCATCATGAATGGGGAGTCCCCATTACCGGCTCTGGAGAACTGCTCCACTCCCCAGCCCCCAGTCTTGTGCTTGGAGGATTATTGCAAAATCCATTGCATGAGGATCCATTACATGAGGATTCTAGTCTATTAGGCTTAGTGTAGTCCGGATCCAGGCTCAGCAAAATGAGGAGGCAGAACTGAAGCAGCACGCTCACTTTTCACTACACCTTAGAGGGAACTTTGGTTGCATTACTCTGGGTCCCAGCAGCTGTGGGGCTGAGCTGTCATCTTGCAGCCCCAGGGATCTGTGGTGTGCTTCTGCAACTGGGAGACTGCAACAGCTGTGATTTCCCAGCTGCAGGAGGTTTCATGAATCAGAACTGGGAGATGACAATAGCTGCAATCTCCCAATTGTGGGATGCTTCCATGCACCCCATGGCTGGGAGTTCGTAGCAGCTTGATCTCCCAGCTACAAGGTGCCTACCATGCTCCCAGCAGCTGGGAGTTCACAGTTCCATAGCTGCCACGTGGGGTGCAGCCAGGACTGTGATACCCCTATTTGCCAGCACAGGGAATGGAATGATGATTCCGGGCTCTCTCTGTACTGGCCATAAAACATGATAGGATGTTATGCTGGATCCCACAATTATGCCTCTTCCCATTCATGTGTCGCATGGCAGGAGGTGTGACTGTGTGAACTGCATTTTAGGTCCTATTGCACCTTTACCTGCACATGCAGAAGGGGGCCTTAGAGTCAACTGGCAGTGGATATTCCATATACGGTAACTGATAATAGTGAGGGGAAATGTTGAAATAAATGGGAGAATAAATGCGACAAATGACAGGCTTTTAGCCACATCACTTCTAATAAAATGCTTTGCTTTTTCTTTATTTAAAACTGTACTTGTTCATCTACTCTGGGAAGACAAGAACAGAGATGCTTGATAAACATTGGTTAACTGTACTACTTTATCTGAAACACCCCTCAGCTGATTACTGGATAGGCCCAAACCTGTTTCAGCAACAGGGTCACTGGAAGAAAGACTGTACCTATTTGATGAGTTTATACTACAAAGGTTTCCCAATAGGGGTCTACTGGTTAAGGATTCACATTTTTCCCCCCAAAACAAAGCAATGCTACCAAACCCTTAATGCTGATGCTATTATAGGAGTAGAAATCTGCTTTTGGCAGAATAGTTTATTTTGCTCACCAAATCTGAATAAGCAGGATCAGTAAAACTATACTACAAGTGTGTTTATCCTAGAGGATTTTGCTGCTAAAGCTAAATCAGTATAGATAGAGTGGTAAAGCCTTCAGGTGTGGACAAGGTTTAAGGGGCAGGGCACAAAACTCTAAGTCCAAGGACAAGGGTGTGAAGGTGACTTTCATCTACATTTGCACCTTCCTGTCTGTTGCAGAAGTTAGTGAAGTTCCCAGAGCAACACAGGCATCTCTCCCATTTGTCTGATTTATCGTAGCACCACTATTTGGAATACATGTACTGTTTGTTATGTACTGAGGGCTCACCTCCTTCTGCCTCCAAAACCATTGTCGCTGCTGGTCCTCCCCCACAAAAATCCCCAAATCAGGCTTGTGCTGGGGGAGGGGCCTTGTAGAACACAGCACTTTACTTTGGGCAAAATGTGTGCTGTTAGAAGTGTTTCATACCTTATTCCAAAGCTCTCCTAACTCCTGTGTTGATACAGCATCTTGCTAAGGCCATAAAATAGGGGCAAATCCTTTTTACTATTTTTCTTGAAGTGTTTATTATTATTGCAGTAAACAGTTCCGTCACATATTTGGCCCTCCCTCCATGAGCCCTACAGCTGAATCTGTGTGGAGACTGCTGAACTGAATAATTAGTTTTAAATTACCATCATGGACATTTTGCCAGGTATGATACTAAAACTGACTTTCTTTTGCCTTGGACAACATACTGGAATAGTCCTTTACCTGCTATAGAATGGCTGCAGGAAACTTGAACCCATTCTGAAGAACTGTCTGACAAAGGATTGAGTGAGGATGAAAAGTCACTGGCTGTGGCATGTATCTCTTTTGATACTGCAGAACAAATGATAGTTATATGGACAAGCAATTGGTTAAGCCAACACTCAACATTTCTATAGACACAACAGAAAGACCAAGTATTGGACCTCTTAATTTGGGAAACTTGTTCACTCTTTCTGTAGTCCAGGCCTTGCAATGTGTGCTGTGTGAATATAGCCACAAACAGCTGGCTTCTGGGGCAGCTGAGAGTGGAAATCCTGTACTGGCAGCTTGGTGAACCATTACCAGGATTGTCTTGGGATGCTTCCTGGGGATATACTGGATAATCTAATCCCATTCTCTTGATATCTCCCATATGAGAGAATGGAGTGCACTAGAACATGGGGACATACGGGAATCCTCAGAGCCCTGTTAGGACTCCATGGGAGATTGTTTTGCTGGTGTGATGCACTGCCGAGTCATGAATACTCCAATGAAATACCTTTCATCTTGATGAACATCTTCAATAGCTTGTTAGGGCTGCTGTCTAAACTAAGAATCAAAGTATTCCTGCCAGTGCTGCAAACTGCTTATTGAAGATGACTTTTCCAAAGCCTACCCATCCTCTGTTCCCTGATGCCCTCCATTCTCCTCAGTCCTGTCTCCCTGTCCTCTAAGCTGCCTTGCCCCAATCCCACTCACATTTCCTATCCACCCTTTCCTTACCACCATTTCTCCAAGCGCCTCCCCCTGACCCCTTCCTTTTGCTTCACTTTAGGATCCAGCCTATCTCTCAGCTCATTCCAAACTTTCACCCTGTGCTTTTATAGCCTTCACTGCCTGATTATCTATTCTTGGTCACTTTTCTCATGGATCCTGCTTTGGCTGCTCTGGCTATACCCATATCCTCAGTTAATCTGAAAACCCCTAAACTTTTGCCTTTGCAGCCAGTTTCTTCCAGTGCATTTTCCTGCACAGGCTGCTTTATCTTGCAGAGGTTTTAAAATATTCCAAAGCAGTTCACATATCAAGCTGATGCTGGTGATACAGGGTCAAATAATGAAGCTTAGTACTGAACATCTTGGAAGCACTATTTGTAATATCCACTTATTTGTAACATCCACCACTCTTATTGGTATGAAGAGTGGATGTTAATTGTAACATCCACCACCCTTAATAGATAACTCAACTCATTCAGCTATGCCGTGTCAGAAGCCAATGGAGACCTCAGGACTTCACTACATAATTCTGCTGCAAACTCAAGTTTTGCTGGCAAAACTGTGTCCCTCAAGTTCTAGCTCTTCTGTGGCAATAGAGTATTTTTTTCTACTGACAGAACCACACCAGCTCTCTGAATGAGAGATAAGGCTTCTGCCACTACATGCAGACACAGCTGCACTTTCTTCTGGTGCCTCCCAAGGTACAATGCTGGCCCTGCTGCACATTTGCTGTAGCAGAATCATGAATCTCTGAAAGATGTGCAACTGCCAAAAGCCACATGGATGTGGACAGGACCTAATGACTTCTGTCTAGACACTGCTGTTTGCCATCAGAAGGCTTGTAATGCAGGCAAACTCCTATTCTATAACAGCCTCAAGGCACAATATTGTAGTCAAGTGCAAGATGAACAAGTCAATGGAGACCTGCTCCGTGTTGAAACCTTACCTGCACTGAACTCAAAATTACTGCTAATGGAGATTGTCTCTAAAGAGGACTCCTTTCTCTCTTTCTTTGGAAATGGAGGAAGTTCTTTAGAGAGCGATTCCAAATCAGGAAACTATAAAGAAAAATGACATAAGTGCTCAGGTTTCCTAACCAGATGCATGTCTTGCCAACAAAAAAGGCATAAAAGAAACAAATAATCAGAACTAAACTGGCAACAATGAATCTGTACAGTATTAGTATATCTCTGATTCTAGAATACATTTCCTTCTATAAAATTATAACCAAGCAATTTAGCCCACTTACCAAGCAGGACTATTCTACTTAAAGGTACGTTAATTACTGGACACATGCATGCACCTGTTAATGCTAACCATGTCCACATACCCATAACTGTTTTCTACAACACCTTCATAATATGTTTTGTAGGACTTATACCAGGGATGACCACAAGGAGCAGCAACAGCTGCCATGTGTGTGGCACATGGGATGTGGCATGGGTGCTCAGTAAAGGGACAGTAGTGTTAAACTAGGGGTGAGCAAGTGAGGCACCAGCCCCACAAGACTGACTTAGGATGGCACCAAAATCATCCCTCACTTTCACAGAGTCCATGCCCCAGAAGCAAAAGCATTGCTCTTGCAGCCGCAGTTCGGTGCATGGAAACCATGGTACTGCTATAAGAATTACAGCCGGGGCAGCCAGACCACACTGTAGTGATGGTGGTGGCAGTGACAACGACAGTGGTGGCAGTGGCAACAGTTGCTACCAGGGACTATTTTTGAGTTCCTGGGGTAGGTAAGATTCCTGAATCAGGCCCCCTTGTTCACCCCCCAAATTCAGAACTTCTGCCCCTCCAGCACTCAGCCGCACCTCTCTGCCCCAGATTGCTCAGGGTGAAAACCCTACTCATTACTCATCTGTAAAGGGCAACGCTAGAATGGAGCTGGTGGGCTGCTCAAGCCTCTGGCTGCATGGAGCAGAATGGAGGTAAGATACGGCAAGAGGTGTCAGGTGTCCCTAACAAGAGCCAGGTTAAACCTTCCCTGGTCCTGCTGCCAAATTCAGGGATGTGGATTCTTTCCTGCCATATAAAATTGCAGTGTTTATGGGGACAGGAAAGGGCTAACTTGGCTCTTGGTGGTGACATATCTCTTGTAGCATGTCTTGCCTCCACTCACTCTGTGCAGCTGGAGGCTCAAGCTCCCCTGCCTTCTTTCCAGGGAACAAACTGTTTATAACATCTCCCTCTAAAGTATCTGATACTGCCACTGTCAGAGAAAGGATACTGGGATAGACGAACCATTGGTCTGACTCAGTGTGGTACTTATGTTAGTAAACTCTATCAAGTATACCTACTGGGGGCAGCAAAAAGGGGCACTTCGGAAGATGTGGGGGAAAGCTTAACTTGTGGCATGCTGTGACTGACTTAGACATTCTTGATACGAACACAATTTCATTCAGTTTCTTTGAACTCCATTACCTGTTTCAGAAGAAATTCTCTGCCAAGTTCAGATTCAAAATAGGGTGGAATTATTTTTTTTCTTATTGCCATTAGACAGTACTTTCCTTCATCAAGTTCCTTCCTAGTAAAGTTTTCATGTTTATGGCAAGGAAAAGAAAAAAGAAAATAATACAGTTGTAGTCCCATTTTGCTTTTTAATTACATGTCCAGGCTTTCTACCAATGGAAGTAACAAGAACAACTTGCTAAAGACTTTTTCTTGCTAACCAAATCTAATGGTAGTCTTATAAATCACTGGCAATTTGCTCATGTTACTGAAATGTGAGAAGCAGAGGGTTCAGTTACTGATTCCTATGCTACAGATCTGGGATCTAGGTAGCAATTTGAAATTTTTATGTATAGTGGCTAAGGTGACCATATGTGCCAGTTTAGCTGGGACAGTCCCTGATTTCAGAGGCAGGTCCTAGCTGGCCGGTGAGAAGTAAAATGAGCACCTGGGAAATGCAAGGGTGCAGGGCACAGTCTGGCAGGAAGACAGAGTGGCATGGAGTTGTATGGTGTGGTAGGCATGCAGGCAAGCAGGCACTGCAGCCTGCCTGGCACACCATGCTGCCCTGCCCCTGCTTCTGCTTGCAGCAGTGTCTCTGGCTTGGGAAAGCAGGGCTGGGGAGAGGGGAAGGGTGGGGCAGCATCCCAGATTTCCTTATGGTCAGTGTAATGGGTGCTGATGTTTTACCTTTGCCTATTTAAGTATTCTCACAATTGCAGAAGTTCCCATGTCCTTAAAAATAAATAGTTTAAACATACAGCAAATATGTTCTCTCATAACCAAGGAATAGCCTAGTCTGGAGAATGATTGATGGATTAACAACTCAGAACCAGACAGAAGCAGCTCCCCTTACACGAGCTCCAGAACTGCATCAGAGTGCCAACAGAAACACTTACAAAGCTTTAAACTGAAGAAAAGTATAAATATCTACTGTTTCAGAGTGGAAAAAAAGCCCATCTTAGAGGAGAAAATGTATGTGCAGTAAATGAAAATGGTCCTTTCACATGCACAAAATAAATCCTCAAGTCTAGGGCTGACTGATCAGAAAGAGCACACAGGCTCCAACCACAAAAAAGAAGTAGAAAAAAGCAAAATGAAAGGTGGGGGAAGACCAAGGAAGAATGGCAGACTGAAAGAACTGTCATTCAAAGATTGCGTCTTCATCAGATTCTGATCAAAATACGTGGACATTGTGAGGTGACTGCTCTATAGATCTCAAAATTTGCTCTAAATCTTTCAGCCCTGATAAGAGCGGCAGATCTTGTTGAATTTGCTCTGAGACTTGAAGGCAGTGCAGGGGTGGGCAATTATTTGGAATGGAGGGCCACATAATGAGTACTGGGGAGCTGTACTGACCCAGTGCAGTGGGGAGGGGGCAATTGATTTAATCCAGTCCCAGGCCCATCCACCCCTCACCCATCACTGAAGGCAGAGTGGGTGGGCGGGGTCTCCATGGGACCCCTGCAGGCGGGGTGTGCTTAGCTAGGCAGATGGGATGAGGTCATGGGTGGGCAGGGAGCAGGGTCTGGGAGTAGGATGAGCAGACAGGGCTGGGATCACAGGGTGGTGACAGCACAGGACCTCGGCCCACGGCAGAGTCACAGTCCACTCCCTGCATGTCCCTGTGACAGGTGTCAATCTGTGGGCAGGGGCATGCAGGGAGCAGATCATGGTTCTGCCTCAGGCCCCAGGGCCTGGCCCCATGCTGTCACCACCCCACAATCCCAGCCCCCACCTAGTTGTCCTACTCCCGGATGCCACTCCTGGAGCATCCATGGCCGCATCTCATCCACCCAACTGAGCGCACCCTGCCTGTCCATGGAGACCCCACCTATCTTCCTTCTCCATCTGGTGCTCCCAGTGGTGGGTATAGGGCAGAAGGGCTGGGGTGGCGGGGAAGCAAGGCTGGCTCTGGCGGCAGAGACACAGGCAGTGGCAGTTGGGCAGAGTGAGCCCTGCCACAAGGACTGCAGGGAAGCTGAGTCTGGCTGCCACACTGCCCCCACCCTGCTGCATACCTGGGGGCAGAGGGCCCAGCCACATGTGCCATGGGCCAGGCTGTCACCTGTGCCTGGGCCAGGCAGGGCTGAGGGACATCCCACAGGCCAAGTAGATTCCATTGGTAGGGCAGATCTATCCACAGGCTGCATTTTGTCCCCACCCCACGGTAGTGCCTATCCACTTCCTAAATTAATAGTTCTTGCCATCTAAAGATGGTCATCTTAAATACTTCAAGATTTTTTTTTGTCAACACAGGAAATAAAGGTATCTGACCATGAATGCTTTTTCTCCTGTACAGAAAGACTTCATCTCTCCAGACCTCCAGACAGATCCATCTGAATACTTGGATATGAGAAGGTTTAGCAGAGTGCTTTCTTAATCATTATTAAACTAATAGAGTCTCAAAGTATATTTTAGGCCTAATTTTTCACCCACTTAACTAGTTTTACACCACTACAATTCAAGGGAGATACTTCTGATCATGAATAGATAACCAGGTGTGAAATCGTCATAATTTTAATGTCAGTGAGAGTTTTGATATTGTCTAAAAGAAACTGAATTGCAGGGAAATTTTTAGGTAACACATACATTAATATAGCCATTTTAAGTTGTTCTTTATATAGTATATATTACAATGTAAAATGTTGGTGTCAATATGGCACTAAACCAATCTAATTTCAATCTGAAATTGAAATTTTCTATGATTTCAAACACTTCAGTTAAAAGTCAAGAATATTAGCTTACTCCCTTCACCAAGCAAGAGACCCTGGTTCAATTACTATTCGGTCTTTCACCAAAAAAAGACAGCAAAAGCAAAAGCTTCTCAGCACAAGATTATTTTATCCACACTGCACACTTGTCGCTTCATTAGGGCAAACAACAAAAGTTTAAATAGCAATCTTACACATTATTTTTGATCACTGGGCAAATATATGCACCTCAAACAACCTTCACTCCGTGATTTTAGCTCATATTTTACTTTCCAAACTTGATATTTATTTGTTATAGATTTTTAAAAAAGTCTTTGGATTTAGATGGTCATATTTTGTACACCACCATAAAGTACACTTTCCATCAAATTCATAAAAATCTTCCCTTTGGAGCTATGGGATTTTTCAGTGATTTTGTATGCAACATTGTGAATAAATGAAACATGTAACAATGATACCCTGGAGTTCCACAATGCCATGATCTGGAGTTGTGTCTCTACAGAACAGTGACATAATAGCTCTAAAATAAAGTTATTACCAAATTCTCACTGATCATGCAAAAACAGTCTTTTCAATCTTTTGGGGACTCACATATGTTTGTAAGTTGAGGTTCAGACACTTCTGAGCTATCCTTGAACAAAAATACTCCTAAATATATTTTAAATTGTGAAAAGTATATTTTTTCCACTTGTACAGTTTCAAAGTAGTTGGACAGATTTTGCTCATACTTTCAATAATACTGATCTTTCATCAGAGTTCAATAAAGGGAAATAAAAGACCAAATGAAAGAGCAATATTAGAATAAAAGCTGAGTTTTAACCTCACCTATACTTCTTGCTGATGTAAAGAATATAATACTTTCTCCTTGCAGAGCATCTTTACTCTGATGATCTTCAGGTGTTTATTGACATTAATTAAAAGTGTTTCACAATCCTTGTGGGAAGACCCTGAATATTTTACAAATGGAAAAATTGAGGTATAGGGAAATTCAGGGCCAAAATGTTCAAACTTAGCACTAAGCTGCCCTGATTTCCATTTAGGAGAAAAAAATGTCTATTGCTTCTGAAGAATCATACCACTTAGGAGCCTCAATGTGGCTCTAAAATCCTAAAATTGGGCACCAGACTTTAAAAATACTGACACAAATTACATTAGTTTGTTATGGTGCAGTGAGCCCTTCTTATGCCTAACCCTAAGCAGTAGAAAACACTGCTTCTACTCCTATTCCTTGATCCGAAAGGATTAGATAAGCAATCCACCTATTCACTAAGTATTTCCTTAAGACATAATACTCCAACAGTATGGTTGGCTACTGAACCAGCCCTCAGGACCTGACCCTAAAGCCCAGTGACAGCAGTAAGAGTTTTTCCATTGACTTAGTTGGGTTTTGGATCAGGGTCTAGCTTTCTGCCCTATCATTAATGCCATTACCTGTGCTGCTCTATTTTTTTCTGCCATTGAGATACTTGGGGTAATTCTTCTTTGCTATATGAGTAGGAAATAAAAAAAAAGCGAATGAAACTGAGAGACAGAACATAGTATTTTGATAAATATGCACAATTTACACAATAACCAGTGGAAAAAAGTATTGTTTTATTAAAGCATGTTATGCTTGTGTGTCTAGTGGCTTCTCATCTGCATTGATTACTTGCATGTTTTGTGACACTTGGGGCCCTGCTGTATGTTATACTTAAAGAGGCGATTAAACAATTTCTCATGCCTCGTGTTGTAGCTTGGCCACACATTAAGCAATTAATAGCATCATAACACAAGGAATAAGCCACAAAAAGTGTGTAATAACTTTGTGGCTGCTTCCTATCATGCTGTTAATTGAACATGTGGCCAGGCGTGCCCCTATGTCTGGGAGTCCTGTCAACTGATGGGGCTCCTAGTTTGGGAACTTATGGTGTGCCCTATGGCTGAGAGCCCAGATTACCTGCTGGGGCTCCCAGCTGCCTGTGTGCATGGTGCACCCCTTCAGCTATGGGGTTCCAGCCTCAGGGACACATGGTGCACCCCTGTGGCTGAAACACCCATCAACTGAGGGGGCTCCCAGCCATGGGAACTTGCCAGATCATAATCCCAGGCTCCCCCTACACCAGCAAGAAGGTGCAATGGGATCTGATGTTCAATCCCACAGTCATGCCTCCTGCCATGCATGTGTGCATCAGATCTCGTTGTGCCTTTATCGCACATCTGGCATGGGTTTTGATGATCAACCACAGTTGGCATTTTTATAGCATTGTTTATCAAAGACTCTTCAGAACCTTCAGAAACAATTTAATTCCACTATGCCTGAGAGACAGAAAAGTGTTAATAGCTCCATTTTATAGATTAGGAAACTGAGTTGCAGACAGAGTCAGGGGTGGATCCAGGGGTGGAGGTGCATTAGTGCACTTGCACTCCCCCCCACTTTGATTCCTGCTTCACCCAAAGTTAAAACCATCTGTTTGGCAGTGGCAGCAGCATTTCTAGTTAGGCACTAATAAGGGAGTCAAAGTCTGGACAAAGTTGTCATAGGGAATGTTAGGACTATGTTATGAAAAGTCCTACTTTCTACTCCCCTGTGTTAACCACCACAGCACACCCTCTCCCAGTTCTGCTCCTCCTCAGCCTATGACTCAAGTTAAGAGGAAGTCTCATTGGATTCTTACCTCAGTTTCTGCCAGTTCTTCTCACTGTGTTTTGATGAAGTTTGGAGCTGAGGGGCCACTGCCTGTTCATATAACTCTGCTATGTGAGCTGCAACATAAGGGGAGGTAATTTTCCAAGTTACATAAAATCAGTATTAAATATGCTAGTTAAATATAGTTAAAGGAGCAGTTGAACTGGAAAAGAAAATCACATTACAGGAATTTATGAAGGTGATGAATCCCTTAAATAAAGGGACAATTCCAGAAGGGAAATGTATAAAATCAATTTATATGCAAATGCTATCCTACTTGTGTTGAAAAACCCATGTAATTCATTATCACATCTGTTAGCTCTGTTTGAGTCATTTGGCCAGTTATCAAGCCTCAAATTCAATTGGGATAAATCTCTTAAAGCTCTTAAAAGGGCATGGTGCCATGATGGAGTGGGTATCCCAGACTTCTATTTATATTATCTGGTTTTTCATATAAGGGTGCTTAAATATTGCATGTATGAAACTATTTCAGGGGACAACCTATAGGTTGAGCATGGAAGAAAAGTTAGCTTCCAAGTTTGGATCACTATATTCATTTTCATTTCTTAAGAGTTCACCCAGACCTCTGAAATTGAATGTTGTATTTAACTCTTCATGTAGTGTATTGAAAAAAATTAAAGCCTTAACATCTTCTGATTTAATAAGATCTCCCTTTATTCCTTTATGGGGACACCCTCAATTGAAGTTTAAAGATAATAAAGGAATCTCAGATATCTGGGGGAAAAAAAGGATATAGCTACAATAAAATCCATCATTAAGGATGGTAGTCTTGCACCTTTTGCAATACATAATAATATATGTAAAAAATTTCAGTTATGTAACGAACAGGAGATGTTCTGAAAAACCTTTGCACTTGGCTGAATAAAACATATGGGAATATATAAAATTTACACATACAAATTTGAAAAGCTATGTGTTGTATTTTAAGGCTCAATCTCACTGGACATGTCTACACAAGACACTATGCAGTAGACTACTGCGCAGTAAAGCATCACTATGTAACATGTCACCACTGGCCACCAGCAGTACCAGCTTCTCGATGGGCAGGATCCCTGCCCAGGTGCCTGCACACTGCACTCCACTGTCCAAGAACATTGCCTGGTGCCGCATGCCATCTGGGACCGAGTGAAACTGTCAGCCATACCAGCTCCAGCCATGTAGTAAGCCCCACACTGGGGGGAGGATCCCCCATGCCTCAGCCCCTACCCCTCCTCCCTGCCCATCCTTCCCTGCCTTCACTCCCTCGTGGGAGAAAGTGCCAAATTTTATTGAGCAGCTTGTGCCCCTGCAGCTATGCAGGCACGGGCCCAATGTTCCCTCTAAGGTGAAGCAATCCATGAGCTTCAGTTC